ATCCCGAACTGTTCGGTTTTCATTTGAGCTAGGGTTTGGAGGACATTCCTCAGGTTAAAACAAACCTTAAATCATCAATTACCAGTATTGTGTTTAAGTTTGATTTCCAAGTTGCGTAATTGTCGCCGTTTAATTTCTGAGAATTGAGTAATTGTACTATTGAGTTTGTCATGCTGTGTGATACAAATAAAATTCTATTAGTGATTTGACTTAATCCTGTTTAATCCAATCAGGTTTAACAAATGTAATAATGTACCCAGAAATTATTAATTTTCAACAATACTTTAGTGAGTTAGAGCAACTGCTACCACCGAGGGGCAGTCAATCCCTCCTAAGTCAATGTCAAATAGGTCTCTAAATTTTCATTTTTTTAAGTTCAACATTTTACAAGTAAGAAATTGAACCATCAAACTTTGTGATCTTAATTCATACCCTATCTACTAAATTATGCTTAGGGTAGTTCATACCTTATCTACAAATGGTCAAAATGTATCTAAACAATATTTTGACCCATAACATAATAGGACAAATTGTTTGTTTAGTAGGAGAATTTATGGGTCAAACTAAACTAAGTTTATTAGGAGTGTTGAAAATGAATTAATTTTGTAAATATTTGAATATTTGAGTTTAGTTTGTTCCCTTTTATACTAGTAAAATTAGGTTTAATCTCAATTACTCCCATGGAAATGAAAGAAACATGTTATCGCTGTATTGAGATAGGTAACCAGCATATTAACAAATGTTTTTATTTATTATTAGTAGTATTTTAGTTATTTTCAAAAAAACCACCAATGGGAGCTATTGTTAACCATTTGTCATTGGCAGTAACACGTGTTCTAAAGTGTAATGCAATAGTCCATTAAATTTGAAGTTGATGAACAAGGACGTTTCAACATTTTATATTATTGTTGTAAATGAGAGCAATTATCGACATGTTTGGTAACGAGTTCTTCTTATTGTTTATAATAAAAATATAACCATGTTTGATAACAATTTTTTTTAATTAAAAAATATATTTTTGAAACATATGGGTATTATGGAAATGCCACTTGATTTTTTGTTAAGCAAAGAGGATACTATCTCAGGTAGACCATTAGGATAGTCCTTGGAGTTTAAGCAACTAGGTGACTACCCTAACTGAAGAAGAGCTCAAAAATAGCACTTTATTAAGCAATTAGGTTACTATCTATGGATAAACTTTAGAATGAGCCTTTAAGCAAAGTGGTTACTCTCTTATGCTTAATAAGTAATTCGGATGCTTCCCTAAATTAGAATGAGTTCCTCTCGAGACCTTGACTTTTAAGTAATTAGGAGACCACCTTAATAACATGTATTAAGTAAGCTTATCACACACCAAAAAAATTCCAAGGCACAAAGAATGCTAAGAACAAAGAACCAAGGTTCTAAGACTCCGAAACAAAAGAAACCCCTATTTTTCTCATGGTAAACCATGACTCAAACTACATTGCTTGGAGTGTAAGAAGTCTTTGTTGGCTTATTGGCCCTTGATCTCACATTAATTAATTTCAATGAATTAATTATTGATGTTTTGATGATAACAAACCTACTTTTAATTATTAACTATTTTCAGTTTTTTGAACTGTCCACAGTATAAGGTCGGGAATAACGATTACAACAACTTTTCAATTACTCAAATCAGAGCTAAAACGAAGAAATTAGAGTCGAGACAACATACCCGACGTGATGATGTGGCAACAAAATCAAAATGATGGACAAATCAAAATATATCAAAGTATGACATTTATAATATTGGAAGAGTAACACATGGTGGAGTTTTTCTTATTATTACATTTCTAAATAAAATTATTTTTACAAATATAAATTTGAATATAACCGTTACTCACATCGAATTTTATTATTACTATATTATATTATTATATTATTATATTTTAAAATTTTGGTAGTTACTCACATCATTTTTATTATTATTATATTATTATATTTATAATAAATTTTGAATTACATTTTACCGTTACTCACATAACTTTTTATTATTATTATATTATATTACTATTATATTAAAATTTTGAAATAAATGAATTTAGAAAATTTTCTTACTTAATTACTTTTAATCTCCACCTTCCATTATTCCTAACACAATCCAATGGTCAATATTCAATCCTACATTTTGCCACTTTTCTCCTCTATATAAACTCATCTTCCCCACATTTTTAAATGATACAACTTACATACATTCTTCAATCCTCATTTGTTCAAAGTCTCCATTGTTTATTGCTCTCTCCAAGCTTACAAGTTTATTTCTTTTCATCTTATTCTTGAGAGGGATTATTATTATATTGTGAGGAAATAGTTGTCAGTATCCCAAATTGTAAATCTACTCTTTGAGAGAGTTGTGGTGTGTTATTATCAAACTCAAATACTTGTATCGGTTTGATCCTGCGTCGTTGAAAGGATTGAGTTTGCTCTTGAACTCGTAAAAAGAGCGGTGTACCGGTTTGGCTCTGATCCGTGGAAAGAGTCGGAAAAGTTCTTTATTCAAATTCCCAAGAGGCGCTTGGGGAGTGGAGTAGGTCGAGTTTGACCGAACCACTATAAAACTACGGTGTCATTTTCTCTAACTCTTTCCTATTTAATTTCAAGATTATTATTATGTTTATTGCATGTTCTACTTGATTATTGTTTTGACTTGAATTATTTTGTTTTAGTAATTATCATCTTCTACTTATTTGTAAAAAGTTTTATCATTAGAAAAATTAATCAAGTTTAAACACTTTTATCGTTAAAACCCTATTCACCCCCCCTCTAGGGTTGCCATACCGATCCAACAGTCTTCAATGCAAGTTTCAAAGTACGCCACTTGGAATATATGAAGCCTTGAGCATAAGCATTCAAACTATGTCATTTGGAATGTAGAAGGATTGAGCATAGGTTTCTAGACAGCGTCACTTGAAACATATGAAGCCTTAGACGTAGGTTTCAGATTACACCACATGGAACATAATAATCATTTGGTGTAGGTTTCAGATTGTGTCGCAAAGAATTCATTAAGCCCTTGATACATGTTTAGAATGTGTCTCTTGAAACACTTGAAGCCTTTTTAGGATCAAATTCTATTTTTCTTTAATTTTTCATAAAACATGAGAGGTTGGTATTTATTTTTAGTTCCCTAGTAGAGAAATACTTTCTAACTATTTTCTTAATTTCTCCTTTCTTTTCTTTTTTGTTTTTAGTCTTTTTAAGCAAAATATGACCACTTAGGATCCATTTTCAACTTCTTTTTATGAAAGATTCATTATCTAATTTCTTAGAACATGCAATTCACTTTGGTATTTGTTTTTCCTAACCCAATTAAAGACATTTGTAACAAAATTGATGGAATTTTAATTTACCATGGTTTTGACGGTTAATCATTCTTTGGCCTATTTGATTTACATATCTGGTGGGTATCCTCTAATCAATGGACTCCATGTTTGGGACAAATCTTATAATAAGCAATTGAAAATTCAATTTGCATACAATTGCACATATAATGAAAAGCGCCCGAGCCTAATGGATAAGGTGTCTTACTTGTGGGTTCGAGTCCCACTGTCTTTCTTTCTTTAATGGATTAATAATTATGTTTTTTTTTTTTTTTTGAAAGTAGGCTTAAAACTTTACCATCTTAGTTTCTTAAAATTTTGTAGGAGAGAAGACGAGACTTCAAAGAAATAGAAAAAATAAAAAAACTAATTGTAATCTTAAAAAAAAATGATTCGAAGTCATTGACGACACACAAGTTACAAATTTCAGACTCGATTGTCTGTGTCCGACTCAAATCGTGACCTGCACCCTATGTGTCTGACCCAATTTGAGATTCATACCACCTTTACGCATGCGACCGCCTCTGCGCGTATGTAGTCGTGCATGATATTTGTGCATATGTTGGTCCATAACCAACGAGTGATACTTCTTTTTCCATTTGTTTGACCTATATTTGCCTGTATTTTCTCGATTTCGATATTAACCTAATTTTAATGGGAAATTATGTCTAACCAGAAGAATTTTAGAAATTTTTAGCACCTATTCTATGGAAAATCGACCTAGACATNGGAAATTATGTCTAACCAGAAGAATTTTAGAAATTTTTAGCACCTATTCTATGGAAAATCGACCTAGTCATGATCACTCACATAAAGTTGTTACTACATAGATGACATGATTAATGTGTACGCAAAATATTCATATAAAATATTTCATAAAAGGTGTCGTGGGCTCCCACGTTCCTAATAAAATCTTTAAAACAATAATGCGAAAACTAAATAATGTGAAGTTTAGATAAAATATTGAAAAATAAAAACATTGACGTGAACTTACTAAGGACTACTAAATAGACATAAATTGTGTCTACCCTACCTCTAGTTCCATGGCTTTCGTCACGGCGTCGCCATCCGACCTTTGTGCCTAACGTTTACCTGAAAAATAAGAGTATTACGTGGTTTAAGTAGTTTAAGAAATACGTAGTAAGTAACTGTACATTTGGTGTCTAGAAATACAAACACATGTGACATGATAGGTTCTAATGGCATTGCCTTAGGTAGCTTTTTAGTTCCGGCAAGGTTGGATGTATAGTACTTTTCTACACACGACCGAACCACGAGCACGAGGACCCACCTGAGGGCTCATGTATTGCCTAGGCCTGTCTCAATGGACTAGCACTCACTAATGTGCTTT